TAATTGTATCTCTTTTGAGAAACGCAATTTCTTGCCAAAATATTCGTTTCTCAAAAGAGATACTTTTTAATTGATTAAAACAGATACATTGTAAAATATGGATTTGTATCTCTTTTGAGACGTAGCCATTTTATATATAACTTGACGAAGGTTTCTTGCAGCAATACTGCAGATATAATCTTATTTTCTACAGTATTTGTTTATTATAGATCTAGAAATGTTGTTCGAACAATTACCAAACGAAATTCTCTATTACATATTTTCTCACTTGACACCATATCATCTATTTTTAACATTTAATAATTTAAACACTCAGATGAATAATATTATTCACAGACATCATTTGCATGTTCAGTTAGAAAAGTATGTGGATAATGACGTTCTTAAATATTATTTTGATAAAATTATATCAACTGTACCTCATAGTATTTGTTCATTGACATTATCTACCGACGATCAGTTACAACAGTTTAATAAGAGATTTAACATTGAATATTTCACAAAACTTCAGTATATATCATTAAAATGTGACAAAATGTGTGAATTTACTCAAATTGTATCAAAATTACGTCATGTAACAAATTTAAAAATTGAATTTCGGCGCGACAGGGTTTCCAATGATATTCGAAACCAAAATATGCAACAATTATTTCATCTTGTATGGTCCTTACCTGTATTAAAGTCATGCTCATTACTTGATGGTTATTTTAGCTCAGGAGACAAAGATATGATCCATGTACCATCAAATATGGAAATATTATCAATTAATGTAGAAAATTTAAATGATTTAATCAAACTATGTCGTTGTACACCAAAATTAAGAAAACTCCCCCCCCCACACCCTCACAACTTGAATATTTTTCATTCCTATCTGATAATGTACATGAAAATAATGATTGGCTAATTGATGCTCAACAGTGGAAATTAATATTTGAGCAAATGACCCAATTGAAACATATTGAACTCGATATTCAACTAGCACGTGGTTATAAATCAATTGATCATTTTAAAACACTATTAACGTCATTTCAAACGGAATATTATCGTCAGAAAAACTGGAATATTATTTTCGATTATTTTATTCATCCGTCTGATTCTAAACTGGCCCATGTGTATACAATACCCCATTCGAATATCGAGTTGCGTACAAATTTATACAATGTTCTAACGGTGGCTACATTTCCAACAAATTTAACTTGTGAAAAAATTAATTATTTAATAATAGGTTAGTCTAGATAAAACACAAAAATAAGATAGAGAATTTTCTTCTTAATAGATATTCAGCTTCCAACGTACTCAGCCAAACAACAGCAACGTCGATTTCCATCTGTTAAGAAATTATGTCTGTGTGCTGATGAGTTCGATGATGAGCTCAACGATGAGTTCGATGCAACAACATTCGTCAGCGATCTTCAACAATTTATTACGTTAGAAAATGTTCAAGAATTAGAACATGAATTTAAACAATGGGTACTTTTAGAGCAAATATTAATTTGTTCACCAAATATCCATCGTTTATCTTTAAGTGTATGCCTTAATGATTTAGAAGAAATTTATTGTAACGAAACATTATCTACTTTATTGAGATCTGCTATTAATGAGTTAGAGTTTTACAGACATATGTTTTCTCCTGATATATCACCATGGTCAAGCGATTATGTTGAACACTTTATTGGAATATTTTCCAACGTTACAAAATTTTCAGGCAGTTTGTATAATATGAACGATTTTTATCGATTATTGCCTATTATATTGGTTCAAATGAAAAAAATTCGTCATATATCATTCCATCTGCGTGATTCTGTTACTTATGATAGAGAACGAATGTCGGATTTACTCAATTTATTAAAGCCAGTGAAACAATTTAAATTCGATGTTTATTATCTTCACATTTGGTTGGAAGAAACAGATATCCATCTAAGATAACAATTTTCATATCTAATCTTTCGATTCCATTACAAGTACAGAATCAAATGAGAGTTGCTTCAAATTAGATGCACAAAAAATTGTAATATTCTTATAGTTTCGCTAAGAAATTTTATTTAAAAAAATCGAAATTATATCCCGATTGGGCTACATGTTTTTCGACTATATTCCGATCAGGATATAGAACGTGCGTCTGTACTGCCTTTTATCTAGCATGTTGTAGGAATGAGACAGATTCTCTTGGAATTCTAAGACTGTTCTTTCTGCATTTGCTAACTATGGAGACACATCGAAACATAAATTATCGAATATGTGACCATCTCGTAGCAATTTCTGTTTTTGATAAGAACCTGAAAATGTGCTGAAATAACCCATCTGAGATATTTTCTAGAAAAAATAAATAATTTATAATCCAGTCGAAAATGATCCATATTAATTCAGAATCTCAACACATACTCTATTTTGCCTACACTGTAACATGGAGCTCAGTAAACATTTTAAAAATCTACAGAAAATAGCTTTGCTTCGTTAAAATGGCATGCCATTTTAGAACAGTCAACATATTAGGAAAAAACTAGCATTTCATGTTGACAGTTATATGTCAGTTTTTTATCGTTTCTTAGCAAATCATTCACCCTTTTATTTCGCTATTATGACTAATATAAATACAAGCTGATTCTTTCGAAAAAACTTAATTTTTCTAATCCTCCACTATTAACTATATAGACTAAATCCTTCCTGGCTTAAAATTATTATTATATAAGAGTGTTTTATGTTACACATACATACATGCTGCAAAAATATTACAAATTATTATAAAGA